AACGGGCTATTTTCCATTATTATTTCATTATTTATTTTTCAATCATTCTAGATTTTTGTATTTTATTTTCATATATTTTTATTTTTGCAGATTATCATCATATACACAAAAATATCATACCATTTTATTATATTTAACTATCATTACCATTATATCTATTATATATTGTTAAAAAAAAATTAATCAAATAAATAAATTAAACAAGAGATAGATGTGTTGATCCCATTACTTGACCAATATTAAACCTCTCACATTGGGTGGACATATTGCCAAAAAGATCGAATTGTTTTGTGTACAGTGCAAGTCGCCTAAACCTACAAATTTATGTACCACGGCGCCAATTTTGAAACTGACGTGATCTAAATACCCACCCTATTACTATTACTTGTTGTTATAAAAAGAACCACATTTCCCACATTTCCCACAATTCCCAACTTCAATTCAATTTTTGACGCCTGGCTCTTATACTTCTGTTAAAATGGGAAATGATATGATTTTTAATCGTCAAAAGGTAAATTTTTATCATTATTATTATCATAAAATAATAATATCCTTATTGATGTATAATACGAATTTGGTTTTGTATTAAACAGAATAACAACAACAATTATTATTCTACCATCTTTATATCTTGGGCAGGAACAGTCTCAGGGATTGAGGAACTTTATGGTTTATTTAATAATGAAGATGTATGTCTATTATTATAATATTATTATAATATTTAAAATTTTTTTGAAATAATGGGACCATTCATAAACATAAAACCAACCAATGTTTTAAATTCTTCATTTATATATAGGTTGCTGATATTAGGTATGTGCCAGGAAAACAATTTGCACATGTTGATCTTAAGACTCAAGAAGCGTTAGATGAAGCTCTGAAATTGAATTCAGTGGTAATCGTCATTATAATAATTAACTATTTATTAATATTTGATTTTTGTTGTTTTAAAGAGAAGGAAATTTAGTCGTAATTACTGTTTGTTTTTTATTCATTTTTTATTCTTTCCCTTATTAAAACCTTTTAAAGGTTAAATATCCAACACAAGGCCGATTACGTGTAGAATTAGGCAAACCACGCAACAACAACAACAACAACAACAACAACAACAACGGTGATGGATGGGTTTGATATCGATCATGATGCGGTGATGGCTAGAAAATTATTATTGTTAATTTGTTTTAACTATTAGAGGATGAAACATATAAAAAAGAGAATAATCATTAATATTTTATAATTAGCAAGTAAACAGGCTATTTTTCCATTATTATTTCATTATTTATTTTTCAATCATTCTAGATTTTTGTATTTTATTTTCATATATTTTTATTTTTGCTGATCATCATCATATACACAAAAATATCATTATTTAACTATCGTTACCATTATATCTGTTAAAAAAAATTAATCAAATAAATAAATTAAACAAGAGATAGATGGTGTTGATCCCATTACTTGACCAATATTAAATCTCTCACATTGGGTGGACATATTGCCAAAAAGATCGAATTGTTTGTGTACAGTGCAAATCGCCTAAAACCTACAACTTTATGTACCACGACGCTAATTTGAAACTATTGCAATTACTACAGTAAACCCTCCACAAGTGCACTCCTTGGATGCATTTATAGAGGGAATAATTAATTTTATTGGTTGCACATGATACTAATAAAAATTATTAAATATTTAATTATTATCACATGATTTTAAAAGCTTATTAAAAAAGAAAAAGAAAAAAGTAAACCGATAGAATTAAAGCTAAAGATCCAAGCTTCATTTCCGTCGGTTTAATTTTCATTTTATTAGAAAAGTATTGAGTTATAAGGTTTCAAAGTTAGGCCATTTCATGTATGTCTAAGATTCTTATCAAGATGATAATAAATGATCAGTATTTTGCTTTGCGTAATCGTAATAATAGTATTATTAATAATATATAATTACAAGAAGATGTCAAGGCAATTGCACTGTTGAAAAAGAAACAATTCAAATATGAAACATTTTGATATGCAATGTTTGATTATCGGAAATTTTATAGATGTTGAAGCACACACGCTAGCTTGAACACATACAGTCATTCTCATCTTCCTTGTGTACACAAGGCTAATTTGACTTCATCCCCCGAAGATACAACGATGTCTCCGATACCAGGGGGGAGCACGGCCCTGGAGTTTACTGAGACTTCATCAATCGTCAATGACACTTTCACTAATCTTCCCTCACAGCACCCAGACCAGAGAAGGCTGCTGGTATGCTAGCCGAAAAGTTGCCTGAAATAAAATGAATAATTTAAATAATTAATTAATAATTCAAATAAAAGCAAATAAAGCAAATAAATAAAGAATTTGTATTAATACTAATATTAAAAATGTGTAATTGGAAAATGGCCTATTTCCAAAATTTTTATTGGACATTCTAAATTTTATCAGAATGCCTGGAATTTTATAATAGGATTTTGCACCCTGGTCTTCATCACCTTGTTTGATGCTAATACCCTTGATGTGTAATTAATCAAATAAGTCATTGGTTATTTAGTCATCTACATTCATTTATTGAAATTGGATTGGTCAATTCTTTGGATGCAAAAGAATAATTGTATGTTTTAAGGATATATAAAGTAAATTACAAAATCAAGAAAATAAGTATGTTTTAGGAATTATTAAAATTCAGAGGCATATTTTAAGTATATAATTAGGATATCTACATTCCTATTACTGTAAAAAATAAGAATGTTTTAATTGTAAAATAAGTATATTCATACATATTTTTCAAATAATTAGTGAATCATCTCTTTTTTGACTTATGTTTTAAATATGTTTGTAAAAAAAAAAAGTAGAAACAAGTATCTAAACTTTTGTAGGGTTGGGTTGGATCAATTATTGAAGAAAGTTAATGCTTGGATTAAGGATGACTCTGAAGGTGTATATATCCAACTCTTTCATTCTGCAACCTGGTCTATTGGTGGTAAGATATGCCAAAAATAATCATTGCCACCATCCTCATTTTCTGACATTGCAATAAAAATGAGTACAGATGAGATTGATACATATGAAACAGCAGATGGATTGTGCTTTGCTGAGGAATGAATATAATAAAAACAAAAAATTGATCATCTTTTATAGGTCTTATTATTATTCTGTTTAAATGAAGAGTCTATGACAATGGATCTTGCAGTAGTTCAATGGTTTGGCTTTAAATACAAGTCAGAAGATTTGCATATGAAATATAGTACCCATATATAAAACTAACTGATGAGTATGATATAATTTCTTCCGTAGAATCAATTGCAGATCTGGTTCACACTTTGGGCATTCTCTCTCCTTTTCTAATGATGATTTTTTAAATATTAGAGTATAACGAACAAAAAACCAATGCAAATTCGTTAAATCTGCAATAAACCTCTCTCTATTCTGTATATATCAATATATTTGTGACTGTTACATACATATATACAGTAGATGGTCAAAAAATTTTTGTATTTTTTTAAAAAAAAATCCAATCTGAAAAGGTTCATCACCTCAAATTACATTATTTTAAAAATTACAAAAAAAAAATTGACCTGTAGATTTCCACATACATATTCTTAATAAAAATATGTGAAATTGGGAAGTGTGACAATGCCATGTTTCGAATCAAACATATGTGTCAAGGACTTGCACCAATGCTCATTGCAATTGTTTTGCTTGGGTAATGCACCATAATTTTTAATTCGCAATCTATGTTGTTTGGACGTGTGCTTTAACATCAGAATCAATACTTTATCCAGTGCTGTTAATTCCGATAATCTTTTAATTGAACGCTTTCTATATCAGACAAGGTCTCCTAAAGAATTAATTTCAGTCGTTTCATTTTCAACAGTTATCAGGTTATCGTTATCAACTACAAGATCGCCCGGAGAAATTCATACCATTTAACTCATCCCTTGCGATTTGGACTAAAAAATTGATGGCAAAATACACACACAAAAAAGGAATGGGATTCATGATGAATAATTTTTTGAGAAAACATTAAGAGACCGACTTTCTCTCTACCAGCGCTATGATTTAAAGGTCGACCAAAATATAGAAGAGCTTTCCCACGTGCGAATCTTATTTTAAATCTTGAAGATCTTCTCCAAAAATGTTTTACTGTTTTTTAATTAATTAAAGAACCTACTCATCCAACTTATAGATACAGAACACTCAAGTCTTGCACAGAGATAGTGGCACCAACGGAAGCTAGATTTTGTTTAAAATCGTTAATATTGTTTTCTACACTATTACTATATACTAATACGTTGTATGTGCATATATGGAAAGTTAGTTTGGTCATAGGTGTTAATTTTTGGAGAATATATATAGCAATAGTTTATATATATTAATATTAGTGTTGGTGTTATAATTAGTGGTTTCGTTGAACGGACGCTCCACCTTAATCTTAACTGTGCATATTCATAACAATAGTGTAATGTTTATTTACAAATATATAGATGATTGTTGAACATCGACAAAATATTTATGCACAAAATAAAGTTAAAAATCCTTATTATCTAATAATAATATTTAATACAATAATTTTTTTAATTAGTCTCTCTCTTTTTCATATAACTAAATTAAAGAATACTCTAAAAATCTTTTTGATCTAAATATTTCATTATTATAAATATTTATAAATTTACAAGTTTTTAATCTACTCTTATTGCACTCTTTTTAATTTCCTACTACTTTTTTTCTATAAGACTACTCTATCTCCTTATCAGGTAATGTCGCCACTATTCAAATTAATACTTGTGAATGTTTCTAAACTACTTATTTAAAAAGAATTATAAAAGTTTTTGTATCTTTAATTAATGGTCTTGTGGCGATTTATCTACTCGATTGTTTCTAATATTTTAATCTTGGAGAGAATTCAATTAACATATATAGTTCAATTTATTTATTTAATAAGAAATATTTTATATTTATAGTAATATCTACGTTCACTTTTCCACTTACCTGTTAAGGAGAACAAAAACTTGAGATAGAATGTCTAATAACGATGATAAATGTGCAGGTAAATGGGGTCCTAGACATGCACCAAATCCGGATCCACATCGCCAATGGGCAGCCGTTCGTCGTCGCTACGAATGGAACGATTCATATGACGATGGAGTAGCCCCCAGAGACGAAGAATTGGAAAAAGAGCTATTTGGTGAAGATAATCATGTTAATACTGGCATTAATTTTGAAAAATATGATAAGATTAAGACGACAATTAATAATCCAAATATAAAACCCATTAGCACGGTAATTATTTATTCTCTCAAAACTTTGGAACAGATTTTTGTGATTAATCAATCATTTATTCAATTATTCAATCAATTATTCAATTATTCAATCAATTATTCAATTATTCAATCATTTATTATTACAGTTTGATGAGGCAAAACTTCATCCAGCGATGAAGGAAAATATCAAATTAGCTAAATACACTATACCAACTCCAGTTCAGGTATAAACTTATTATGTTTTAAATCTTAATATTCCAAATAAATTTAAAAATTTATAAAAAAATTTTCTCCAAAAAAAAGAAATATTCTATTCCAGTAATCACTGATGGGTTAGATTTAATGGCATGTGCTCAAACTGGTATTTATATATATTACTTATAACTTTTGACAAGAAGAATAACCATTTTACTGCACTAGCAATTACAATAATTAAATAATATATGTTGAATTAAATAGGTTCTGGTAAAACAGCTGCATTTTTGATTCCAATATTATCTCAAATATTCACAGCCAAAAGAAATTCAAGACAGTCTACACGAAGGTATAAAGCTGAACCATTAATGTTAATATTGGCACCTACACGTGAATTAGCTACTCAGATATTTGATGAATGTCGTCGATTTACTTATAGAAGTATGATGAGACCTTGGTATGTGATATTTTTCCTCCCACTAAAAATTTAATAATATGCTTACATCTGGGTGTGTATATATTTAAATATAAGCATCACTGTTGCAATTATTTTAGCGTTGTATATGGAGGAGCTGAATCTGGGCCTCAAAGAACTGAATTGGGTAAAGGTTGTGATATATTAACTGCTACACCTGGTAGGTTAAATGATTTTCTGGATCGTGGTATATTGAGTCTTCGTAAAGTTAGGTAAATAACGAATGATTTTTTTTGTTTTTTAAAAAAATTTATTTTATATTTATACTCATGTTTATTTATAATATATAACTTACAAAAGATATCTTGTGCTTGACGAAGCTGATCGTATGTTAGATATGGGTTTTGAGGCAGATATTCGTAAAATTGTTCAAGAATCTGGTATTTATTTGGCAAATTAATCGATCAATCTTAAATGTTTATTACAAAAATTTTACCATTTTATTTTTCCTTGCGTGTCTTTGTTAGACCTCCTTGATGATGGTTCAAGACAAACCATGATGTTTTCTGCTACTTTCCCAAAAAATATTCGAGAACTTGCCAAGGATTTCTTGAAAAATGATTACTCATTCCTTACAGTTGGTCGACTTGGTGGAACAACAAGTGATATTACTCAAAAGGTAACTACTAATCAATTAGCTATTTATTTATTTATTTAACAATAATAATATTTCATCATTAATATCATTCAAAATTCAATTTCTTTCAAAAAAAAAAATGAATAATAGATAAGATATGTCGATGAAAAGGATAAACGTACAACACTTGTTGAACTACTTTTACAACAACCGCCATCCCGTACTTTAATTTTTGTTGAAACTAAACGTGGCGCAGATTCTCTTGATGATTACTTATATCATCAAAATTTTCCCACAACAAGTATACATGGCGATAGGTCACAGCGTGAAAGAGAAGATGCATTAATATCATTCAAGTAAATATTTAGAAACGATCTTTTTTTTGATAAATAATTAATTTAACAATCATCTTGTTTTTAAATAACAGAAATGGCCGGTCACCTATTTTAATTGCTACGGCTGTTGCAGCTCGTGGCCTTGATATAAAAAATGTAATGCATGTCATAAATTATGATTTATGTAATGATATTGATGAATACGTTCACCGGATTGGAAGGTTTGTACTTGTTGGTTCTATTAACAAGTAAATTTATTTGTGTTAATAAATTTTTATCACTTGACTAAATAGAACTGCCCGTGTTGGCAATGAAGGATTGGCAACAACTTTTTATAATCAAAAAAATTCTGATATTGCTGGTGATTTAGTTAAATTATTGCTAGAGTGTAAACAAGATGTTCCCGATTTTTTACAATCATATGCACCTACTAATTAGTAAGTATTTAAATATAATTATGTAAATTCTTTTTATTATTCCACAACAATTTCTTACATAATTATATAATAATATAGTGATTTAGATGAGGATGCAGATTCAAATTATAATAATAAAAGAGGGGGCGGTGACAGCGGCGGCTACAGAAATCAAAATAACAAATATAAAAATAATGACTCATCAGATTGGAATGCAAGTGGTGGAAATGGCTGGGACAATAATAATAGTAATAATAACAGTAGTAATACGTGGGAAAAAGATACAGTAAAACCAATGTGGGATTCTAATGCATCAGCAACAACTGGTTCTTCATGGGATCCTAATAATACTCCGTGGGACAGCAATAGTACTTCTACTCAAACTCAACAACAATTACCTCCACCATTACAACCTCAACAACCCTCTCATCGAGCGCCACAATCATCGCAATCACCACAACCACCACAACCACAACCACCACAGCAGCAGCAACAACAACAAAACCAATCGCAATATCAACAGCAACCACCACAACAATATCAATCACAGGTTATTAATGATAATTGGTCAACTCCTACCACTACTGCAACTCCAATTCCTCAACGATCCCCATTTCAACAACAATCTCCGCCTCCTAATCTTCAACCTCCTCTTCAACCTTTTCAACAACAATCTTCTCCTAATCTTCTTCAACCTTTTCAACAACAACCACCACAACCTCAACTTATTCAATCACAATACAGTCCTCAACCTTCATATAGTAGTCCACAACTACCACAAATTTATTCTCCACAACCATTGCAACCCCAACAGCCTTTACTTCAACAATATGGCAGCAGTGCACCACAACAATCATTGATTGGCCAACAACCTAATCCTAACAATAATTATAATCAAACCTCGCCTCCACAACAACAAAATAATGGCTATAGTTCACCACCGCAACAGCAAACCAATTCTTATCAACAAATGCCACAACAACAACAACCACTTGCTAATTATGGTAGTAGCCCTTCTAATAATAATATCAATCAAAATTGGGATTAAGATGAAAATGAAAATAAAAAATAATAATAATAATGAGATTTTATTATGAATTTGGTTTTATTGAAACTTGTTTTTTTATTATTTGGGATATTATATCTTATATATACATACTATATATTAATAATAGTAGCATTGGTATTATTATTTATTAATATTATTATCTTCTTTATCATTACCTGTATTTATTAAACATTATTATTGCTTCTATTGTTATGTCATCTCTTTATTATTATTATTATTATTATTATTTATTTTTAATTATTAGCTATATATATGAATAATAATTAGCATATTAGCAACAAATATATATTTGACATTTTGACAATCAATTAATTGAATTAGTTTTTTTTTTTTAATATTTCGTCAATGATTTAGTAATATTAGTAGTGATTCATATGATGTAGCAATGCGCTTCACAATAATAGCTAGCTATGGGGTCAACAGGCAAATTTCTTGCTCCTGGTTCTGATGCATAAATAATATGCCGATCATTACTAATGTTGTAAAAAATTGCTATACCCACTTGCCTGAGCACACATATATGGGGCATGCTGCGACAAAGTGAACATTGGTGTTACCAGAATTTCAGGGATCAATATTGTTGTTTAACACCACATTTGTAATGTGATCATGATAGAAATAGATATTGCGCCACATTTTTCTGAAATCCAGGGCTGCTAAGTAAAATTTTGTAAAGAAACTTTATTAAATTCATGCAGCTTCTTGCTTCACTCACTCACCAATCTGTCCCCTCCAAAATTCCTCCTCCTCCTCCCCCTCCAACTTCTTTTTTTCTTGCACCAAATCGTTTTTCACTTCTAAATCATTCACCACCTCCCTCAACAACTTTCTCAATTCATCCAGCCTGTCTAGCGTCTTCTTCACCTCTTCATACTCCTTTTCTGCTTTAATCGTTGTCATTTTTAAAAAGCATAAAACTTTTTTTTTTCATAAATTTGTCCAATGATAAATTAATGAGCACATGAAATTTATTATTCGTTTTATTCGAATAAACATTCAATCCAGAATACTCGAATTCTATTCGAATGGAAACTCTGCTATGACTATTTGCTAGTAGAAAATTTTTTTTCACATTATTTATCACTACAAAGGGGAAAAAACCAAATTATTACAATTATCATTATTGATCGATCAAAGAAAAGGAAAGAAAAGAAAAAAAATGGCAATTACTTCTTATATTATTTCATTACAATGACTACAAAGGAAAAATAGAACTGATAAAGAAAATTTTTTTAATTAGTAATATATATTATTTGAATTAGCCATTTTATTTAAATAGAAACCCTAATACTAGTTAGACGTGTGACAATTTTGTATTGGTAACGATTGAATTTAAAAAAGTTTTTCGTGACTAAATTAACCAATTAAAGAATTCTTGCGCGGTGCCAACTTCTAATCTCGTCATCTTTGATTTCCGTTTCTTTCTTTTCTATGTTGATCCATTCCTGAATTGCACCTATTGTTCTTTTTGTTTTTCGTTGGTAAAAGTTTTTTATTGTGGGAACAGCAATACCCTTCCAAGTAACTTGTGAATTTCGATTGCGATTTTACTGAACGAAAAATCAGGGTTCGATCCAGTCTTCTTTGAGGTATTTCTTTTCATCAGCTGTTTTACTTGGACTATGGTTTCTCCCAGGTTCTATTTCATTAATTATTTTATCAAGGCTTTGATTTATATTACAGAACTGGTTGTAATTTTTATACCGAGGAAAAGAACTGAGGTAAAGTCCAATTAATAAACCACAGATAAATTTCAGTAGCAAAGGCAAGCATTTTTGTTAAATGGTTTTATTTATAGTGGAAAAGATGATTTGAAGATTTTGGTGGTGTGAGTTATATAATATAACTAATAATGGTCATTTTGCGCCATTTTGTCTAAATGGTACTTTTCAAGTTGTCGATCTATACAATCAGGTTTATTTTATCAATCATTTTCCAAATTTCGCATACTTATTTTAAATGAATCACCTTATAGTTGTCAATTACACTTTTAAAAAAAATTTTCACAAAAATTTTGGTAAAAGTCTTTTTAACTCAAAAATAACAACGTTATTCTGTAGTTTCTTCATCTTTAATAGAATCAATTTTTAAATTCAAAAAAATAAAAATAAAAATAAAAAAAATGTCTGATAAAATAAATAATTCTGTACCTGGTCCTCCGCCCTATAACCAACAACCTTCATTTCCAACTCAACCAAATACTCAACAATATACTTCGCAGCCATATGCTCCACAGCAATATACTCCACAACCGCAATATCCACAACAATATCCACAACAATATCCACAACAATATCCACAACCACAATATCCACAACCACAATATCCTCAACCAATGTCAATGTCACCACAGATAAATGTCTCAATGGGTCAACAACCTGTCGTCCAGCATGCTCCTCCAGTTATAGTTGTTAATCACAGAAAGAGGTATACAATTTTGGGTGTCTGTTTAGTTATTATTTTTCTTTGTATACTTATTCCTATTCTAGTACGTTATTATTATTATCGGCATTATTATTATTATTATTAGTCATTTTTTTATATATTTATAAACTTATGTTAGCTATATTACATATATTAGTTATGATAATATACATACATTTACTATAAATTAGTAATATTGATACGTATATTTTACATATTTATTGTCTTTGACATTTACTAGTGTCGTTTGTAATCATTTTTACATATAACACTAAATTGTAATTACTTATTTATTAATATCAATAAATTTATTTTATTATTCATCATTCGCGAGCAGGCATCAACAACTCGCTCTGTTTGCGTGCTTATTGTGTTGATAATTTGATACATCAAAAAAAATATTCTGGAATCAGTTGGACGAAGCGTCTGATTTAGACATTAAACAATGTCTTGACCCTAGACAACTTTACGTCTCGAACATTTGTTTTATCATTTGATACTTTAACTTTATATTTTATATCATTTACTACAAAAAATAGCACTTGTCTCAAATTCAAAGAAAAGCAACCAAGCAGAAAATTCTCAAAGCATTTTCCATATTCCACTGATCTAAAAAAAGAAAAGGTTACTCAAGAATCCACTTGTTAAAGTTCAACCCAGAAAGATATTTTCCGAACTCATTAAACCAGAAAAGCAATTAATTATACAAAAGAATTAATTTTATTGGTTGGCTTACTGATGTTAAGTTCACCAACAGTTGGATGATTATTGTGGGAAGAAATAAATACCAATTACCTTATGCGGAAGATAAAAAGTATGAAAACACTTTAGCATTATTTTGTGGCGTAGTGTTCCTTTTATCATTTATTTGTATTTAATATGGATATATTGATTATTTTCGTTTGGTATAGTAGTGAATAGTAGTGAATTGGGTAATTGTGATATTAATGTGATTATAAAAAGATCTATTAATGCAAATATAGAAAAGGTGATTTACACACCTTTGTAATTATTCAAAGGGTTATTGTTAATGATAAACAGCGTAAACCTCATAAATTGTTAGATTTAGAAGAGATAAGGAAAGTCATCTTTAATAAATTAATTTATTTGATAATATTATATTTAGATTTGCATTTATTTATTTATTTAATGCTTATCTTGTTGAAATAATATTTTTATCATAAAATAAAAATCAAACCTAATGGACTCACTATATGGTAGTGGAATGCCAAGGGTAGTATCTGGGATGCAATTTAATGTTGTTTGTATAAATGGAAAACAGGCAATCAGTGAAACCTGTTGCATCGAATTTGCATGCAGAATCGGAGCTAAAGATGGGACCTCAATTAAATTGCGGTGTATAAAAATTGAGTTGCGGCTAATTGATTTAACCGGAGTACTCCAGACGATGCTTGCATGTCACATTTTTGGTAATTGTGGGGAAGTGGAAATGCTATATATACAACCATAAATTACCAAAGACAGGTTCATTTTGCTTCCTCGAGAATTTATTTATTTTTGTTTCCATAATTTACTAAAAATAAAAACTTGAGATAAATAATAATAATAGAAATACGCTAACGAATTACGTCCATCAAAATAATAGGGAGTGGATTGAAATTTGCAAAAAAACTACTAACGACCAATTTAAAAAATTGTTTCAAATTTTATATCCGGAAAAGGGATTCCTTGGACAATAGAAGTGTAACGTGTTCAAGGTCATGTATATTTCGAAACGATTAAAAATTATCACGAGAGTCTTTTGCCTTTTTTTATATTAGTTCTTTTAGGTTAATAATATTTCTTTTTAAAATCGCTCAAAGTTAACTATTATTACCTTGCAATAAAAACAACAATTATTAGGTTAATGTTTATATTTGCACAAGTCTACTTTCTTCCTTTGTGAACGTTCCTTCAAAAACTCTCATTATAAATTTAAATTTGGAAACTTTTATATTACATTATAAATGTACACTCTCTCATTGGTTAATTTGATTCATTCAATGAGAATACATATAATGTGTGTGATGTGTGTGTGGGGAGATAATTAGCTGTCAAAATCGAGTTGTGCGGGGTAATAAAATTAAATGGTATGGTTAAACAATAGTAACAGCACATTACTATTGACGAGAAGAACAATTCATTCTTTATATTGTAAAGAATGAAATAGGGAAAACTCGGAGAAATATATTTGAACGGGGAATTTAAATAATAATAATAATAAACAAACATTTAATTAAAATTAATTAGTTAAAAAACAAACAAAAAAGATATTGGATTGTGCGTGGAATTAATTGATGGGCAAGAAGAGTTTTGGAGGAAATATAAAACCTTAAATGATGGTTTGTTTTTCTTTTTTAAAAAAATACAACTCGCTTGTATTGTTCTTATTATACTAAAATCCCAAGTATTTGGTAACTAAAAATTAAATAAACAATTAATTGATTGTTATTTATCCGATGCAGATCTCTCTATATGTTATTGTGGATTGAAATAAAATGATATACATAATAGCGAAAATTTAATTCAAGCCATTAAAATTATTATTATTATTATTATTAACAATCGAAAGTTAAACCATGCATAAATATTATCTACTATTCAACCGACGTGATATCGTCATCCTTATCACCTGGGAATATTAAATTCTAAATTTGGTATTGAATTGGAGCGTGCAATAAAGTGAATATCAATCGTATCACTCAAGATTTCAGGGTTCAAATTTAGTAAATTAGTTTTGAAACGTCACAAGTGTCCGTAAATAAGTTTTTAATTATTCATATGAAATAATTGGAGTGGTCAATCCAAAGGCATAGCTAAATTCATGCTATGCACATTCTTCTTCTTTTGCCTTTGCTTCATTCCTCACGCTTTGTTTGATTGACGTGGGAGAAAATGTTCGCATGGAAGCCCAAACTCGAAAGTTAGAAATCAAAATTCAATAAATAAAATAAAATGAAATAAAATGAAATAAAATGAATGTTTAATTAATTTGGGGTCTCCTTAACTTTGTTTTATAGTTTCTGGATACTGCAGTTCGCTTCAAGCTTAAGGAGAAGATAATAAAGTTTCTCGATTAGGAACAAAGCCAGAGGAGTTCTTCCTGTTTTTAAGAGGCTTTTCAATATAAAGAAAGATATACATTTCAAGAATTTGTTATTGGTTTTAAAACAAACTTTAAAGGAAATTATCTCAAATTTTACTATCCAAAATAGACATAGTTTCTAAGCCAAATGTCTACGTGAATAAGTACACATGGTCTTATATTGACTCAAACTGCTTTCTGCACAGTAAACCCAGCTAGGAAGCTTGCTATTCAAAATCGACCCCATTTCTATACTCAATTAATTCCTAAATATAACTGATCTGCAAAAAAACAGAAGGAAAAAAGTAAAACAGTTTGCCAAGTGAAACTCGGTCTCAAATAGGTTATGAAACCAAGTTAGTCATGCTTTCTTTTGCACATTAATAAAAAATAAGGAAAATGACAGCAAAAAAGTTGGTGAGGGCGAAGCTGGATGAAAAGTATTATGAAAAATGAATGTAAAAAAAAAACTTGAAGACGGTCCTGCTAATTTTCTATATGGAAAAGGTATTTGAAAACGATCACACGTTTTGCTAGTGGCTTGGCTATTTCCGACTTAATCTTTTTGCTTTAACATCCAAATAAAATGACTAACAATATCAAGACATGAAGATGGAAATCAAACCCTACTTACAATGCCACCAAGTCTATGAACTATTTATTTTCAGGATAATGAAGGTCACCACTCTTCCAAATATTATTTCTGGATCTGTAATCAAGCTTTATTAGGAAGACTGAGAAAAAGAGAAATCCTTCAAGAGGCTTAGAGAAATGGAAAAAAGAGAACTTTGTTGAACCTTGAAGAGTAAAAGGGTTAGAAAAGAGCAATATGATGTAATGTTCTCAATGAGGACAGTGAAGACGCTTGTTGTTATTGTGTGCTAACTGCAATAAAGTAATAAAGTAATTGTCATTTTCATTTTGAGGACGATACTCCTGTAGTAAGATGAGAAATATTAATCCAGTTTGATCACCGACAAAGTATCATTTTATTACACAGCAAATTTTAGGGTTTGAATTTTGACAATCAAATATTCTGTTTGGGAAAATCTTTTTTTTCATTCTTGTGTACAATAATTCTTATTACAACTGGTGCACAAATCCTAGAAATATTGTTAATGGGATCGAAGTAGTATCCAATATCTCACTCGCTCTATTCTCGCTTGTTTAAATAAATAAATAAAAAAAGATATTGATGATTTACTTTACATTCATAAACCATTTAAAACTTCACAAGTATTCAAGACACGATTTTTTTATTTGAAATAAATAATTCTTTTTATTATTAGCCTTTCAGTTTGTACGATATATCTCATCTATTTTACTAATATTAACTTTGAAACAAAAAGGATATCGTTCCACTCTTCTGGGGTACACCCTCAATCTGAAACTTGGATAATTAAAACATAATAGCCTTTATTATTTGGGACTTTGGAGAAACCTTCCCTCCTAAATCGGATACTCGAGCTTCGAGTATGATTTCTTTGAGAAGTTTAGAGATTTCACAAGACACAATTATCCCGTATTAAATATTTCTTTTCAACTTGGCTTTGACTTTATTCTTTTTCATCATTCTAATCGAGCAACTTTATTATTTAATACTTGAAACTTGAAGTGATAAAGCAAAGTCAAGGATTGGGAAGAGGAAAAGAATGAAATTAATCAAACAACAATCATTCATTATTCAGTTAACTTTGGGTTTCTCACGTCAAACAAAGCGTGAGCGATGAAGCGAAAGCAGAAGAAGAAGAAGAAGAAGATTGGATGAATTTATTTTATAACTTTGGATTATTGCCTTATATGGAGAATTTAATAAATTATTTACGAAATGCACCCTGAAATCTTTGGTGATATAATGTTCACCCAACTTGATGTTTCTCTACTCAAAATTTGTTTTATTAACATGACATATTTATTAACGTGGTATGAAAATAACAATAATATCGGTATTATTTAATTTAACATTATTGTAATGAATTGTTTGTTAATATTGTTAATATCAATGATAATATAACATAACATATTTATATCCATATTTATTAAAAAAAAAAAAAAAAAACAAACAATCTCAAATCTCAAACGGATTTTTATAAAATGTAAAAATTTGGCACATTGTTTATTAAAATAGGAGATAAAATCTGTGGAATTTAATTATTTTTGGAATAAAATGAAAAATGACGAATTTTTCAAATTTTTCGTTTTTTTTAATTAAACCTATTTTATTTCGAGCGGACCGAGCGAGCGAGCGAGCGAACAAACAATTAAATTGATTCGTTGATTGTGAGATTAAAAGATTAGGTATAATTTTTGTTTCAATAACAAATAATAAATTTATAATAATATAATAATAAATGTTATTATTATTAATATTATCGCACAGATCTCTGCACAGATCACTTTTAATTCAAAAATTATTATATTTTAAAGTTATCACATTATATGTTATCACTTGTGGTAGAAAATATTTAACGTGGTATTCATGTTTGGTTACCATTATTTTAAAACATCTTTCTTTTCTCTCTTTCTCGCCTTCTTTCTTTCTTTAGAATTAATCTTTGTTCTCTTCGAATAGTAGCCTTGTCCCAAAAAATAAAAAACAAATAAGCATTATTGTAATAAATATTAATTTATTGACCACATCAAATAACACCAACCAAACATTACCATTAATTTAAACTACTACAACGACAACAATAGCAATGACGTTGATCAAATTAATATTTTGGGTGACACAAATCATAATTTTTATTAAAAAACCAAACAGATTCTTACCTGTTTTCCATAACTAGCAAATACTATATATTACATATATAAAAACTATTTTGCAATATCACAAATTATTATTTATCACCAAATTTAAACAAAGGGTCGTTTTTTAAATAATTTTAATATATAAAGAAACAAAGGGGTGATTCTATTTATTTTATTTATTTATGTAACAATAAAAAAGAATTAGAACAAAAAGTTTAATAAATAGTTAGTTAGTTAAGTAAAAGTTAATTGTTATTGTTATTGTTTAATTAAATAAAATGCACATTATAAATAAAAAAAAAAAGTACTATTTATGAAAATTTTTTATATATAAACTCGAATTTTCTTCTTCTCATCCAAAATAAAAATTTTTTCTCGAAAAAAAAAAGAAAAACAAAATTAATTTGCAAAATAAAATTTATCTACAATTAAATTTTAAACAAATTTATATAATCTTCTTCTTCATCCAACAAATTCAATTTTTATTATAATCTTCTTTCTCTCCCACTAAAAGATTTATAACAATGCCTTCAACAAATCAAACAGAAAGCAACATTTCCTCAGTTGATGAAACCTCAACAAAAAGCGCTACACAAAATCCAAAAACTGTGGAATACGAATATCTTGTATTGCCTCCAAATTCTAATAATAACAATAATGCTCATGACGATAATAATAATAATATCGACATTAATCAACAGCAATTACATCTGCTTACTAAAACTAAACGTATAGATTGTAATAATCAAACTAGTGGATCAATCTTTTGGATTCCGGATGGTTATCGTCCTTTACTAGTAAGAACATCGGATATACCTTTACTTGTAGGCACTGAATATCCAATCACTCCATCATCATCTCCTTCCTCGTTCTCATCCGAAGGAGAGTACAACAATTAAAACTTTAAAAACAAAACGAAAAATCTTTGTGAATTCAATGTTTTACATACTTTTTTTTTCATTTTTAAATTTACAACAACAGTGGATGTATTACATTGAATTCATAAAAAATATCAACATCAAAAACCAAATATTATCATCATCTCATAATAACATCATAAATACGCAACCTCTTCAAAATATTATATATAAGCCAACTAATTACTAAACATTTCATTTATTCATTCATTCATCCAATCCATCTATCCAATTCAACTAATTTCATTTCAAACGAAAAATAACCAAAAAAATTATTCACTTTCACTAATTACATAATTTCATACCTTCATTTTTATTTTATTTTAATATTCCGTTGATCGGTTAAAATTTTCCCTGCAATGATAGATTGTAGATATATTTTCCTTTCTTTTTTTTAAAAAAAAAAAAAAAAAATTCAATTCATTCTTTATAAATTTTTTAATTTTTTGTAATTATATTGTAATTATACCTGGAACTTTACGAACTCAACCCATTATGGGATGTTCTATTGTTTCAGAAACATGCTTATTATTATATAAAATTGCATTTTATATAATTTATATATATACTCTAATTTTTTTTTAAAAAAAAAAAATTTAAAAAAAATCATGCTTTTTTTTCTTAAGCTTTTCTAACATATGCTTTATTTTTTTATATCAGCTTTGATTTGTTTTTTTTTTTTACAAAAATTTTTTTTGTGTAATTATATTTTTAAAAAAAAAATTTTGTAATTTAAAAAAAAAAATATTGTAAATTATCAAAAAAAAAAATATTTTTTTTAAAATTAAAAAAATTAAAAATAAACAAAAAATTATAATTAAAGCGTAATCGCGTATATAAAAAAAAACCCCTAACTATTATATTGTTCATTAACCAACCAAAAATTGTGAAAAATTAGTATTGTTTCTAGTAATCTAAACTTAAAATAATAATTCATCATCATCGTGTTTTCATTGGTAATATTTATTATAGGACCCCTGACTAATCTCGTCAGTATTAGTGATGATTATTCGATAATATCCCATATTAATTCGAAATTGGCACAAAGTTACACTTATTGTTACTTATTGTTTATCATCATGTCCATTTTTCCGAACACGGTTCAATACTTGCTAATGTTAATTTTTAATTTTTAATTTTTAATTTATAATTTTTAATTTATAATTTTAATAAAAAACCCGATAAAATAAAATTTTAATCAATATCTAATTTATCGCCAATCAATGTTTATTGCTTATTAATTTGGAAAAAATATCCAGCTGATATCATAATAATTGACGGATAGATGATTTTTTATTAATAGTAAAATATCAACTTTAAAAATTAAAATGGTGTCATTCATCTATTTTTATTTTCTTACCCCAGTAAACACATTCAATTCAAAGATGGATTCGGTTATGATTTGCCCAATTGCATATCTTATTTTTGCCGTGTATTATTTTCGCGTAATATATATTAATGTTCCTCGGGATCTTCCCCCAAAATTTTTAATGAATGAATAGTTCTTTGTATGTTATTTTACTTCTTCTTTAGATTATGGACCTTGATTGGAACCAAATAAGGTAATCAATAGAAAGGGTTTTCATTAATACGCCGTCCATCTCTATTTTTTTTTTAGTATTGTTCTCACATTTTACTATTGTTTTTATTTTTTTGTTGAAAAGGGTGTGGGTGGCTGGGAAAAAAATGATGGATGATTAAAGAAGGTTGGGTTGAAATATTAATAGATTTCTTTTGTGATTCTCTTTTTAGCATAATCGCTAGAAAACCATTATGTCATCCGTCGTCATACTACACACGCAATAATGATTTATAAATTGTCGAATCCATCCCAAAACGAATGATATACTACAAATTATGGAAACAATGGCTGTATTTCCATTGTTATTGTTTTTTTTTATTTGTATCTTGACTTTCTAAAAAATATAAATTAATTAACATTTATATTTTATATCACATGTTACCAATATCCATTATTATCCACAACTCACTTTGATTTTCATTTATTCATTTGGAAAAAGGCCTGTTTATTGTTGTTGCAACTTTATTCATTTTTCGTTTGGTGATAATTAAAAATTTGTGATAATTGAATGATCATCGGTTATCAGTGATTAAAGTTAATGTTTTGTTTATTACCACCATCAACAAAGACACCGCTTCCTTGTTCTATCCATCATAATCACCACCATCATTATCATCATACAATATAATTTATATTAACTAACAAATGAAAATACGAATCTAGATTTTTATTGATTTTTATTATCATCGAATCCCATTTTTGTAATTTTGGCTCTCAATTCGATTGATTGGGGACCGCGAAACCCATACCTGACGGACAGGTTATGTCCGTCCGTGGCTGGATCAATTATTCTTATTATAGTAAAAAGCCTAAAAGTATTTCCATAAAAAAAAAGATTACGAACAATTACTAATTTTCACTGATCATCCATCTATATAGTTTTCAGGGTCTTCCGATTGGTCGATTGATTATTATTGTTATTGACCCGTGTAACTTCCGCAACACAACAACAAAACTCCGATTGGCTATCATTTTACGCGTAATTCAAAAAAAAAAAAAAAATTTAAAATTCTTTTTTTGGTTTATATATTACAAAACAAAAATTTTCTTATAAAAATATAATTATGGGTATTCACGGCCTTAACAAAGTGTTGGGTGATAATTGTCCAGCTGCGATAATTTCCAATGAAATCAAGAATTATTTTGGTCGTAAAATTGCTATTGATGCTTCAATGTCAATATATCAGTTCTTGATTGCTGTTAGACAAGATGGACAACTGTTAACTAATGATTCTGGAGAAACAACAAGGTATCGTATCGTTAATCTTTTATCGTTTGTTGATTGATGGATATTAAAAATCTCAAGTATTTATATACTTTTTTTTTATATAACAAAAGTCATTTGATGGGATTATTTTATCGAACAATTCGTATGGTGGAAAATGGGATTAAACCTTGTTATGTATTCGATGGTAAACCACCTGTTTTGAAATCTGGTGAAGTTAGTAGAGAAACAAAAAATATTTTAAAAGTTTTGAAAAACAGTTTTAAAAAAAAAAAATTTAATAAAAAATTATAATTACATAAACAGCTTGCAAAAAGATTAGAACGCAGAAAAGAAGCAAGCAAGAACCTTGAGGAAGCATTTGAAAATGGTCATTACCATTATAATGATATTATAACGATGTTGTTAATATAAATTTTTGATAAGTGTTAAATGATAGTTTCCACATTTATATATATATATTATAGGTGATGTTGCAGATATTGATAAATTTAGTCGTCGTACGGTAAAAGTTACACCTGAACACAATAATGAATGTAAAGAATTATTGGGGTTAATGGGAATTCCATATGTAGAGGTACTATTTTCTTATTTGTGACATTTTAATTAATCTTAATATTTATCCATGTTGATATAATGTAATATCAATTTTAAAGGCTCCTTGTGAAGCAGAAGCACAATGTGCAGCTTTAGCCAAAGCGGGAAAAGTAAGTACTTTGAGTTCAAATAACAGGAGGCAAATAAATAGATATATTAATATTATTATCAAATCAAAATAAAGGTTTACGCTGCAGCGTCAGAAGATATGGACACGTTGACATTTTCAACACCTGTTTTATTACGACATTTAACATTTAGCGAGAATAGAAAATTACCGATTAATGAGATTAGTCTCAATAAAATTATCCAAGGGCTTGAAGTTACAATGGATCAAGTAAATTAATTATTAAAAAATATTAAATATTAATTCATCGATCGGATCTATTCTATATATATATCTACCCTTTTATATAATTACTAACAAGATCATGTGTTTATGTTTGTATATATATAATAGTTTATCGATCTTTGTATTCTGTTGGGATGTGATTATTGTGATTCGATCAAGGGAATCGGGCCTCATCGTGCCGTAGAACTTATCAAAAGATATGGAAATTTAGAAAAAATCATAGAAAATTTAGACACTAAAAAATATCCAATACCGGAAGACTGGCCATATAAAGAGGCACGTGAATTATTCAAAAACCCGGATGTAAAGGATCCAAATGAAATAGAGGTAATTAAAATAAATTAATTTGATTAATTCAAAACAGTCTAATTTTTTTCTTGTGAAAAATTTCACTTTATTAATGATGCATTTGTTTATAAATATTTTAAAGATTAAATGGGAAACTCCTAATGTTGAGGGTCTTGTTGAATTTTTGGTAGTACGAAAAGGTTTTGGGTAGATATCAATAACATTATATATTTATTATATACATACATAACATACATTGTTTAAAATAAAAATTAAAATCAATAGTGAAGAACGTGTTCGTAAAGGTGCAGACAAATTAGTAAAAAGTTTTAAAACTAAAAGTCAAGGAAGGTTGGATAGTTTTTTTACACCATGTCCTAATCAAAATCCTTCCGCTAAACACAAGGTAATAAATTATTTGTTTTTTTTTTGGGGAGAATATTTTTTGTATTAATTTATAATCTATAATTTATAATTATAGATTGGAGATGACAAAACTGATGCTAAATCAAAGAAATCAAAAACATCTACTAACAAAAGTGGAGGTCGTGGTAGACCTAAAAAGTAAGAGGCGAGTGAATCGTTAATATTAACATTATTAACTTTATTAAATAAACAAATAATTTGTAAAAACAACAAAATAAAGATCTATTATATAATAAAATAATATTAATACTATTCATTATTTTCTTTATTTGAATAATATCCTTTTTTTTAAACCAATAAATAAATAAATAAATAAATAAATATTATACTACTTTGAAAATTGTGTACTAGTACTATCGGTATTATTTAGTGGTGCATAACCATTAGGATTAGTTTCTCTGTTTGAATAATCATATCCATAATCTTCAGTATTGTTATTATTATCATTAATTTTTTCATTGGAAATAATAGGAATCACAGTGTCATTATTTTTGTCGTTATTATTGCCAGTATTGGTGGGTGTTAATGAAATAGTTGTTGGGGTTTCTTTTTTAGGATCTTTACTGTACAAGTAAGTGGAAATTAAAACAAATGTTGAACCGACCAAGAACGTGGAAGTGACAATGAAATCGAATAAATAGACAGATGCCAGGAATGATAAAATTATAGAAATCGAGGTCGCAAATCCTTTGAGAATGTTATCTGCATATTTCACCACTATTGCTACTATTATTCCACCAATTGCTTGACATGCTATAGCGCCCACAACAGTTATATTATAACCATAAAAGAACCCTTTTTCCCATACGCCATCACCATCTTTCCACCAAACTCCAAGTATCAACGCGGGGAATAACGAAAAAAATGATAGTTGCACATTACGTACCCAAATTGAAACTGGGGCCTTTGAAGCTGGGGCCTTTGGATCTTTTTTCAACACTTTTTCAAAGTATACTCCTGCTATACCTGAAATTACACACGCAACTGCCACCGCCATCAATCCCAAAATTCTTTCAACTATCGCATCTTCATCTTCCTTGGACGCCGAATCACTATCATCTCTGAATTGTACCAACGCAACTCCAAACGTTAACAAAAACAAAGAAAACCATTTAACCCCGTTTAGTGAAGTACCCAACATTATCACTGAACATAATGCTGTGGTCAAAATTTTTAATTGATATGTGACTTGGAAGGTTGCCGCGTCTAATAAACTGACAGCAATGTATTGCAAATTGTTTTGGATAGTGTATAAGATTGCTGGTATTGACAATTTCCAAGCGTCAGGTGCAAACACCTCGTTATACAACTCTTTGACACTCCATTTGCCCTTTTCTTGAAATTGATTGTTCAACGCCACGTAAGAACATATGATAAGTTTTGATAGTTCTGATAAGAATACAGCTGTCGACGTGAAATATAGTGCTGACTTGTCTTCGTTAAGTCTGGAATATCTCATCACAATAACCAATGCACTATTCTGAATACACAGAGTTATTAAACTAACATATTTTAAAGGTATACCAAACATTTTTTCTTCTGGTGCTTTAGACATTCTCGTTTATTCGTTATTATTATTATTATTTATTATATTAATTGGTTTATTTTTTATAAAATTTTTGGAATTAAATATTAACTAAATATTATATAAAAAACACAAAAGGTCGAAAACCTTATAACTTATAATAGGTATATAAAATGAAAAAAATTTGTAAGATGTTACACGCATTTATCTTTAATTAGAAATTAGCGGTTAAAATATGAGGACACCCTACCCTCTCCCTCCCCCTACCAATATATGTTACATATTATTTTTTATAAAGGTTAAAACTGGTCGAATGCACATTTTATAAATAATGGGGAGGGTGGTTGACGATAACTGGTGATTTATGTAATAAAGTCTTTTTATTTGTTTTTTTTTTTTTTTTGTAATTTTATTGTGCAGAAATTGCGTACAAACTTTAATTAATATCATTCATTCATCTTTCTTATTTGGGCATACTGCAGACAAAGTGAACATTGGTATTACAAGAATTTCGGGGATCAAAATTTAGTCATTTGTTAAATGATATAGAACTGCCATATAATAATAGTTAATATGAAGCTAATTTACGATGGAACCAAAGAATTACAGCACCATTAGAAGTATTTTGGAAAAGGAGCAAGGTGAAAAAATTGCTCCTTACATTTTCAAAATAAATGATACTCAGACACTGGAAGCTTATCTAAGAAAAGAAAGAATTACCTACGAAAAATAATAAATGTTGGAAAAAGAAGGTGTATTATTACCCAACAAAAAGCAGAAATCTTTAAAAGGAAAATAATTTTATTATTACAAAGAAAATTCTCCGTTATGCAAAATGTAATTAATGATCATCATATTGCATTGCTTATCAATAAAAATGTTGTTCGAGTTTTTTAACAAATTCTACTACATTCAAAAATATGTTTTATAAGTCTTTGTTTTTCTCTCGAACAAGGTAAATAATCTCGCATTGTATTGGAACATTATAAAAACATTTACCAATTCACTTAATTTTCAGGTAAAAAAATTCAAATAACAAATTCTTCTAATAATCACCATTAAACAAAACAAACAAATAATCAATAAATATTTATACAATATTTTCATCCATAATAACATTTTAAAAAAATGCTTACTTTCAATAGTGAACTTTTTGTGGATTATTAATTGGACTCTTGCTTGGTTTCTTACTTCATTATAAAACTTACAAAAATCAATTCTATATATTATAAATCAAAAAAATGATCAAATAATCGATAAAATAGAACCAAGAAAAGCCATTTTAAAAATAAAATAAACCAACTTACTGGCCATGAAAAATATTCGCACGAAATCGAAAATCTATGGAAGGATTTTAAGCAATTATTTGATAAAAAGACTGGGTCGAATCCCGATTTTTAATTTGGTGAAATGGTCATTGAAATTCGCGAATTACTTGCAGAAGGAAAAAGGTGTTGCTGCTTCTACAACAAAAAAATTCTATCATTTCTTCGTAAAAAAAAATTTTTTTTAATTGCAAGTCATGTGCCCACTAATTTATCATTGGTCCAAATTATTTATAGAAACAATTACGAATAATTTTTAAAAATTCATTTTAAAATCTTTTTTTTTTTTAAACAAAATGGCAACGATTGAAAAAATCGAAAAAAAATTAAATGATGCAAAAGCAAACCATGAGAAAGTGGAAGCAAACCTTGAGAGGTGTAAAGATAAGTTAAATGACTTGGAGGTGGAATTAATGGAAGGGAAATGGAGTGGTGAAGAAAAGACAAGGAGGGAGTATAGAAGAGATGAATTAAAGAAAGAAAAAGAGGAGCTGAAAGAAAAGGAGAAGTTTTGGAGAGGAGAGATCAGTAAGTGGAGTGGGAAGTTATGTGAAGTCAAAGGAAAAGGTAACAGTAATGAACAAATTGCATAAAAAAATATACAAAAAATTATTTTCCATTCATTTCATTTCATTTGTTTATTTGTTTGTTTGAGTGACCATTTGGTATACTGTATACAATTTTAATTAACTTATTTCTCTTTGGTTATTTTTATTACATCTTCTAATTATTACCCATTTTGTCCTGAATTAACTCTGAATTACCTTGTTAGATACTACAACAAACAAAGGTATGTACTTGAGTTATATATATCTACTTGTTTTTATATATTCAATTTGTTTTTTTTTTATTCACAATCAATTATGTTCTTGTAGCTCCTGAGAGGATTATTGAATTTTGGCAAGCAATTCAAGATGCAGAAATCTTTTTTTCTCTACCACCAAATTGGAATGAATATGATTTGGCCTTGGGACCATTTTTTCAATTTATGACTATCAAGGATAATTATGTCATTTTAAACAAAAATATAATGATAAATTCAAATGGCCAATTGATTTATAATAATGGGAAACAAGTAATGAACCAAGACACAAATGAACCTCTTCAATCACTCCCTTTTAATTCTACCTTAAAAGTTGCAGAGACAATAAATATGGAGGAAAACATGGAGGAAGAGGAGCTTCCAGATAATTGGGGAGGAATGCTCCATTTGCCAAAGTCCACATTTTGCATTGTCTCAAATAACATATCAATGATTTTAATACGAAAATCATATTTGCAAATGATTGAACAACTTGAAAAGGATGCCAAAAATGGTTGTGCAATAGTAGGCACACCTGGCATAGGCAAAACTTTCTTTGGTCTATATTTTCTTTTCTATATTACCTGCCGTTACCCTGATTCTAAAATTATTTGGGAGACTATTGACAGCATGTGGTATGTGTTTTTTCCAGATTTACATGTGGAAAGTGGAATTCAGAGAATAGGTTCTTGTTTTTACGACACATTATTTGATGAGAAGGCTTTCTATCTTGTTGACTCAATAGTTCCCGTGAATAATGTTATTGCATATACACTTTTATTCTCATCACCAAGGCAGGAAAGATGGAATGAATTCATTAAACAAGAAGATGTCACTCTTTATTATTCACCAATTTGGACACCAGATGAAATCTGGATACTATGGAGAGAACAATGGAAAGAGAAAATGACAGCTGATCGTGTTCAGGAATTGATGGACCGGTGGGGTCCAATACCACGAACAATTTTTGATAAAAGAGATAATGAACCAAACTTTGAGGAGTTGACTTCTAGATGTAACATAAAATCCCTTGTGGAAAATTTGACATTTAAAAATATGCGCTTGCAATATGATGATTTTAATGGTAGAATAATTCATATCCATCCATTAAAAACAAATTTTAAAGAAAAAATTTTGAAGTTTGCTTCTGACAAAATAGCTAAAGAGCTACAGTGTGTTTCAAAAAAAACTGGAAAATTTTATGTGAGCTAAAAACATGTATAGCTTCCCAAAATTAAATCTAATTCATGCTTTATAAAAAATCAAAATAAACTTATGTTTCGAAATTAAATATTGAGATCTTCTGTAACTGATAATCTTTTTTGCCTGTTAAAAAAATTAACTATAACATGCCTACTTTGAGACAAGAAACACAAAGTCAAGCCATATTACATTTATGGAATAATGGTATATGTGAGGCCAAGGAAATAAACAAAAGAACGAATATGCCCCTTTCTACCATCTATGATAATATAAAAAAATTAAAAACAACTGGTAATTTGAATCATGCTAGAGGAAATGGCTGTCAAAAAAAAATTACTGCAGATGCATCAAGAGCTTTGAGACAATATATACACAGAGTCGTCGGAGGAGGGATATGTATCGACCGTTGGTCGAATCCCTCGAGGTATCGCCCCTTCGTGGCTCAGATAGCAAAAATTCTAAAACTGGACCTCCGGTACTAGTAAATACCCAGTCCAAAACTTTTTTATAAAAATCCAAATTTATTTTTTAATTCTACTAGTACCACTAAGACCACTAATACCAATATAATAATATATATACAGAAAGTACTAGAATCCGCTAAAATCATCAAAATCATCAAAATCACTGACCCTAGTGGCGGTCAAAACTGGTACTAGAAGTATTTGAGCACCAAACTCCGAATGAATCAGTTCTCCTGTATATATAAGATTTGAACTCTAAACTCTGAATGAATCGAATCTTCTGTATAAGACACCCTGCATATTCCATGCAAAAAAACGAATTGAACTAACCCACATTATAGGTATCATACAAAAAAATTTTTTCGAATACCTCAACCAAAATTAAACAAATCCAATATTAGTATTATTATCAAAAAATGAGTGCACAAAGTCAACTCC